TCACAGTGACCTTTGACTACTAAAATCTAATCAGTTAATCATTTAGTCCACGTTGATGTTTGTGCCAAATCTGAGGGAATTCTCTCAAGGCCCTCTTGAGATATTGTGTTCACAAAAATGAGATGCAAGGTCACAGCGACCCATGCGGCCATGGCGACCATTGGTGCTGAGGTATAACAGCAAAAATCTACTCAGATGGGGGTTCTGTATTTTCTTATCAATGTGGTATCTTGCATCAGTAGATGTACAGCTCAAATGAGCTTACAAGACAGACTATCAAGCTCCATGTACATAGGCATGAGACCAAATATACAAAACATTAATATATTCTGCATATCTTCATGCCTTGACATGCATCAAATAAACTAATTTCATATTATATGTGTGTATTTTTTAGTCTAGTTTGCCTAATTTTCCAAGCTTCAGAAGTGAAACTGGCCCAAACTTTGTCACTTAGTCCAATTTCTCACTTTCATCAAACCAAAAAACTTTGGGACTTTTGTTCTGCCTTCCTACAAATGTGCTCACAGGTTTCCATATGGTACATGCACTCACAGGCTGAGAGGGTGACAGAGCTGGTTAAAGCCTGCACTGCTGCGTCCTGCAAAACCACACGCGTTTCACCGGAGTGAAGGTTTTTTAGAAGCCCCCAGGTGCTGCACAGGGCATTGACAGTGAAATGCAGGACATCAAGCAAAAACAGTTGAAAGTGAGAGGCTGTTCCAAAACATGCCTGCATTAAAAAAACACAGTTGTGTTAGTGGAGGCATGTTGTCTCAGGTACAGGTGAGATATGAAACATAATCCATGAAACCCAATATTGTATTTATCCAATTCTTTATTTAAACCTGTAGCCTCAGTGAGATTGGAATCTCGTTATCAAGAAAGACCTGTGTACAAAATAAAACAAAACAATACAGTTTAAGCATAAACAGATGATAGGTAATACATTGTCACAATTTAGAAAAACATTTACAAGTGTGATTCCAAATGCATAAGTACAACCTTACAATACAGCCCACCACTTATAGTGTAATTACCTGACACTTACAGTACATGGTAAGTCCTCTTAACTTAGAGTGTAACATCCTCATATGAACAAGCACCAATGCTTTGGTGTTCCTTCTTCGACTTAAATGTAGGTACAACAGAACAAGGTAGTTACTTTTAGGAATTGTAGAGTCTGACTTATACTGTAAGTATTTTGGAGGGTCTGTGTAGCTACAGGGTATTTTAGAAGAAAGGAGAAATTATATACTGTAAATATTTTGTAAGTACTGGGTATGATCAGCTGACAACAATGACAACCTGTGCCACATCTTTAATAATTACAGTATAGGCTACATATAGATGAAGTAGTCTAAAATAAAAACAACAACGTTTGCCTTAGTTTATTGCAGATGAAACTCTGGCAGGCAGGCTGCATCAACATTCCAGGGATTTATTATGTGGTCTACTTCATTGTGATTTGGAATAAAACAGGTCAGGAAACATGTCTGTACCTGTATCTTTCATGTTCCTGGGTTTTTGTTCATATTCTGTTATCCTATGGACTCTATTTTGGAGTTTTCTGTTTGTGTTCCTTGCTTCATGTTGTTCATCCTAGGGTCAGTTTGTTCTGTTACAGTACGTGTCAGTTCAAGGAGGACCCAACTGCAAATTAACAGACAAGTTCAAACAAAAACCAAGCTTTAATGTAGCTGATTGAAAGCATCCTGAAAACAAAGATGAATGCAGGAACGACAGCAGAATGCACCCAGGAGGAACACCGGATGAACACAGGAAAGACAGAGATACAGCTGGAGTAGGAACATGGGCGAAAGGAGATAAATGGAGATTGGCTTACAACAAGGGAGTGGAGGGGAACAATAGGGTGGAGCACACAAGACTAATACAGAACAGGTGTGAAGAGAAGACTTTGGGAACGGGGAGGAACTAACGGGACAGGCGTGACAGAAAACAGGCAGGAAAACACATAAAGACAGAGAGTAAAACCACATACGACACATGAAGAGAGAATCTACAAAAACAAGGAGCACAAACAGAAAACTCCAAAATAAAGTCCATAGGATAACAGAATATGAACAAAAACCCAGGGTCATGACAATATCTGTAGAAAATAAGAATGAAAGAATAGCACATACTTTGTTGTTTATGTGTAAATACGTGAGTAAGAACAGGAGAAAAGTGTAAACTTAGTAACACAGCACACACCCCCAGTCTTACAGTGTAAGTAAAATTAAGAATAGGGTAAGAAGAGAAAACAGAAGATACTTTATAATGCCCCCAATCTTACTGTGTAAGTGAAGGATAAGAAGAGCGTAGGAAGAGGAAACAGCTGATAGTATATCAGCCAGTGTGCACTCCAACTTTTACAGTGTGGTAAGAAGAAGAGAACAGCACATACCTCGTTGGTACTGTCTAATTACAGTACTCTATTACTGTATTAATACTTATATGTTTTGTCCTAGATGACGATACAAGCCTCCCATATCTGTGCACGTAACAAAGGAGAGATTGCTTTCTACTCCAGCCAGCCCTTTATGAGCTGCTGCATCGCTGGATGAACACACCTGCTTGGAGCTAATTTTCAAAAGTATAGATCCATTTCACAAGACATAGGCATAATAAATCCCTGGAGTGTGGGTGTGGCAGGCCTGTCAAAGGGACACCTGTAAGAAGTTATTGTCACAACCGCCATTAGTGAAAAGCATTTTTTTCTTTGTACACCATCTATGACTATATTCCATATTGGTAGCACATCACAACTGTGAAACACATTATGGGATAATTACTTAAGAGGTACCCAGTACGTGGTTAGTACTTTTAAGACACTTACAGTATAAGTTATTTAATCTTTCCTTTTAAAATACCTTGTAAGTACCCGGCACTTACAAAATACTTACAGCTTAAGTCATTCTCTACAATTTCCAACTGTTACTCCCTCGTTCCGCTGTACCTACATTTAAGTACAAGAGGGAACAGGTAAGTATCATACGGCATTATTATACTGTAAGTTAAAGGGACATTGTGTAACATTTTCAGTTGTTTACTGGCAAAAATTGATGTCTGCATTCATAAATATGTCATCACTGGTGTACTATTACCTCCACCAATAATCTGACTTATTCTCGCAAAAGGAGAATTTTGGATTTGTTTGTACATTGTGCGGGTAAGTCGTCTGTGGGGTTCCATTACATTTCGCCATCTTGAGAATACACCCGCCAGCAAGGTACATACAGCACCGCCTTCAGCATTTTCGTTGAGAGCCAGGCCAGCACTGCGTGACTGAGGAGCCGAAGGAGAGGAGCAAGAGGCGCTTCGCTACTACCCTGGCAGATTTGAAACAAAGTCCCACTCTTTGAGCATAATGCAGGATCATGCATATGCAGCATCATGGTAGATGGAATCCTTGTCACCAAGAAAGCGCAAAAGGGAATAGAAAAGGCAGCGTGACTGGCGAATTAAAAAAACGAAGGCCCACATCGGGGTAGCCTTTCCCAGGTAGAGAGAGCTGCTGAGGGAAAATGGTAATGCAATCACAGGCCAGTGCCGCTGTTGGCTGTTAGCCGCTGTTAGCTGTTAGCCGCTGTTAGCGCTGGCCTGTGATTGTATTACCTTTCTCCTTCAGCAGCTCTCTCCACCTGGGAAAGGCAACCCCAGTGCTGACCCTTGTGTTTTTTAATTTGCTGGTCACGCTGCCTTTTTGATTCCCTTTTGCACTTTCTTGGCGACGAGGATTCCGTCTCCTGTGATGCTGCATAATACATGGTCCTGCATTATGCTCAAAGATTGGGACTTTGTTATGCGGCAGTAGTGCCGCTGGCTACTAACAGCTGTTAGCGGCGCAGTAATGCGAGGAGAGGGATGAGGTGTGTGAGGTTGAGCCACTTGTCAGTTGTCAAAGGACAAGACGTGATTGGTTTGTTTCAATTTACATCCGCCCCAACAGTCCTACGTTGTAAACACAGCCAGCATGGTGAGGAGGGGGTTTGTCAACTCGCGTCGCGTGTGTCTGTGTAGGAGCCTGAATGAATACTCCATGTAGTATCGGATGACATGGTTTCATCAGTGTTATAATAGCTTTTTGGTACACAGCGGCTACAGTTGTTGCAATACGTGTTTGAAACAGTGAGCCACTAGAGTGCGCCATCTATTTCTACACACTGTGGCTTTAAGAGGACTTACATGTATTTTATAGTTCTGCGTTGAATCGACACGTAGGCTACGGCGTAGGCTCCAAGTCAATGTAGAGCCTACACCGTAACCGTAGCCTGACGTGCACCACCCAGAATTGTAACTACGCGTCACAGTGATGCAGACGTCCTTGTCTGTGGTTGTACACTGACACCATTTCCTTCAGTGGAAACGGAGCTTGTATTTACTTTTAGTTCACAGATAAGAAACAATAAATTGTGAAGACAATAAAGCCTCCATTAAAATAGCATTTTAAGTCTTGTGTGTGATTTATCCTTTAGGGATTTATACTTAGGGATTTATCCAGATTTCATATGAGTAGAGGAAATCTCCGCTCGTCGCTAGGCTAATTTATACAATTTAAAATGCCAAAGGCTGGCGCTAATAACGTTAGCATTTTGTATTTGTTTGGAAAACGTGTTTTGTACAGGACAGTGAGTTATAATGGAGCCAAACTGTGTGCCGTTACCTTTGTTAAACGTTGTCGTTGTCCCTGGTTTTATATGAGGATGAAAAGATTGCTAGCTGCTAGGCTAATTTATACAATGTAAAATGCCATAGGCTTGTGCTAATAACGTTAGCATGTTGTATTTGTGGAGAAAATGTGTCCGGATTAACACGTTTGTCTGTGAATGCTGCGAGTTACTGTATAGTGAAGCCAATTTGTGTACTTGTGTTTGAAATTGTCTCTATTATTCTCTATTAAGTCATGATAAATGTGTGTTTTGAATCAACTAAACTTAACAGCACTTCACAGAAAACTCCTCCGCTGACTAGTGTTTTGGAGGTGTAACTGCAGAGTGACACAGGCACACCACCGCAGAAGTAAAAATGCTCACAACGGCATAGGCGAAGGTCAGTGCCCAAACGCTTTATGCATTCTACATTAATCTACCTCAGTGATATTATTTTTTATTTTAGAAACATAACATTTAGGTCAGCCACTAGACCACTGTGTGAACAGCCTTCTGGTTAACATTATATGGAAAGGCAAAACAAAAAACAAAAAACTGAAGAAACAAAATATATACAAAGTCCACCACCATTATTTTCCCTTATTTTGCCTGTATTTTCATTTGTAAGAATTGGTTTGTCTTGCACACCTACTCTTCTAGTATATGCTATAACTTTGCTGAGAATCAAGTCCACGTCTACGTTCCCTTAGGAGAGGTTATTATTGTCGCTCCCCTGCTGTACTGATGTTAGGGTTTTAAGTACATAGTGGTGATGTTAAAGCTTAAATGATGTACATATTCTCCATTCATCTAAACTAGGTGATATTATTGGTATTAGAATTATCTGTTCAAGGGTCACTTCATCCCGAGTTTCTGGACATTCAAAGACTTTTGTTTAACCAGGTTTGGAGACATGAGCCTCTATAAACATCAGCCATCTCCAATATTAAAAAAAAAAAAAAAAATTGAATAGAATTTCACACTGATCGCAACATTTGAAAAACTTAACGAAATTAAACCAAAAAGTTAAAGAAATATGGAAATAACAAAATAAAAAAAAAAAAAAAATACAAGCTCCACCACCATGATTTCCACTTTACATTATTTTCACATGTAAGAACTGGTCTGATCAGCTTAATCAGTCACTTTGTGATGCAATTCTCAATGCCGTCTTTGGCAAGTATCCCTAAACCTGCTGTTACACTTGCAAATATTCCACCTGCTGCACCTCCTAATGCAGCTGCTACCGTGGACGTCACCTGACCACCACCAGCAAGATACCCCATTACACATCCGATAGCTATCCCAGAAAAAGCAAAAGTTCGAAGGGTGGCTAGCTTGGCTTGGGCTCCTTCTCCTTTTGGATCTTGCTGTTTTTTCCGTAAGGCAATTTCAGCCTTGTGGAGCATCTCTGGGGTGTAGAAGTCTCCTCCTGGTGTCTTAATCCTTTTGTTGATCTCCCCCAGCAGAGCAGTGACCTGCTCAGGAGTCTTGTTGGTGTTGTCAAAAACATGGTATCCCCAGTTGCACTGTAAGATTAGGTCATGGAGGTTTTTATTTGATCGAATAAATTCTTCTATGTCAGTGTTTTGCAGTTTACTTTTAAAGGTGAATAAGACCATAGTGTAATCCATTACGTTTTTGCCAAAAGTACTGCGAATGATTTCCACCATTTCCTTTTCTTCATCTGTGTATTTATCCCCAATCCTCAGCACAATCAGGAACACATGAGGACCGGGTTCGGCAAGTGAGATGGATTTCTTGATCTCTTTCACCAAATTCTCTGTAGATCTGTCAATGTGAAAAAACCCTGGAGTATCAACAACGACCACATCTTGTTCTCCAATTTTCCCCTTTTCCACATGGCACTTCATTGTGACAGCTGATAGACTGCGCTTGGAGGGGAATATGTTTTCCATGCCCAGGATGGTGTTTCCTGAAGCACTCTTCCCAACTCCGACTTTCCCAAGCAGCACCATCCTCAGCTCTGGCTCTGTATCTGTTAGAAAAATATTGCAGACATGAGTAAATTAGTGTTTTATTTGTTTCAGTCACTATGGAATCTTGGCCCACCATGATCAGCTTTAAAACTGCTCTACTGCACCATTGATTTCCCATGTGGAGAGCAGTGGTTTCCAACAAGATGGAAGCCCGAGCTTTGTTGGCTGCGTGTTATGTTACCTAAGCAACAGCCTCTTAGCTCATTTCCTGGATTCACATCTGAATAGGCCGGGCCAGAACTCGTCTCACCCTCAACAAAAAAGGGAGAAGAAGAGACCAAGGATGACAACACTATTAGTCAACATTGCTTCTGCACTGCTGAGTATGTGTCCCATTTCCCCTTCAGTTGCTCAGTTAAGTACTCTGTGTATTTTTCACTGAATACAGATGATGGTGCTGACTTAAGATTAGTTTCTCTTTACGGTAGGTAGTTATGTTAGGTACTTTGGCATGGCACGTATCCTTACACCGATAATATAAATACCTGCATTGATTCTTTAATGCACCCTAGGTCTGAATATAATTTGAGGGAACTGGACCTGGATAGCTGCTGAAAAGTCCTTTGATGTGATGTTTAAGAAGTGGGAACCCTGGTATAATTTCTCCCTAAAGTTCAAATAAACACAAGAATTTTGTGCTCTGTCTTCCTCAAACTCTGTCCCTGCACTCCGAGTTCCCCCAGGAGCGAGACAGCTGATCTTGCTATGAATCCCCTACACCCCACTTCCACTGGACAAATCCTAGTCTTCCATCCTCGCTGCTCAGCTTCTGCTCCTAAGTCTGCATATCTAAGCTTTTTTCTTTCATAGGCTTCTTCCACTGAGTCTTCCCAAGGAACTGTCAGCTCAATGAAATAAACTATCCGTTGACTCACTGACCACAACACTAAGTCAGGCCTCTGCCTGGTACAGACTATTTCCTGAGGAACAACAAGCTTTCCCCCTAAATCTACTTGCATTTCCCAATCACAAGCACCTTCTAGGCGGCCACACCCTTGCCTCCTCACTAACTTATCCCTTCTGTATTTCTCTCCCTCACGGACAAACTGAATTACTAAGCCCCTATCCTTAACACCTTCTGAATTCACCTGTCTTCGTTTCCCTTCGATGCCTGCAGCTAAACATTTCAACACCTGATTATGTCGCCATGTATATCGGCCTTGTGACAAGCTAACTTTACAGCCTGACAAAATATGCTTTAAAGTTGCGGTACGTGAACACAATGGGCATGATGGGTCCTCATTTACCCACAGTTTTAGGTTCTGGGGGGTTGGTAACACATCGTATGTAGCCCCTACCAGGAATCTAATACGATTCTCCTCCATACTCCACAGGTCCCTCCAACTAAGCTTCCTCTTCTCTACACTTTCCCAATTCAACCACTGTCCCTGTTTAGCCTGGGCCACTACCTTTGCACCCCTTACTATCTCTTCCTGTCTGCGTATCTGTTCTACAACCAGCTTTCTTTTATCTTTGAGGCCTGCTGTATTCCATACCGGTTTACCTGAGCCAAGCCCCAGGCCTCCCCGGCCAAACTGAACATTACCTACAATCTCTGCATGTCTAAGAGCTGCCTCTGCCTCCTGAACTGCCGATCTTGGGTTCCACTTCCTCCCCTTGGTTGGATTTGGAACCACACTCCTAACTACCACGTCCTTACTCCCAGATAACAAGAGCTCTGTCCTGACCTTGGTACATTTAAATTCCTCTGTTAAACTAGATACTGGCAGCTGAAGTATCCCTTTTCCATACAATGCAACACTACTTAGGCACCTAGGAGCGCCCAACCACTTCCTAATGTAGGAGCTAACCGACCTTTCCATTCTCTCCACAACAGATATTGGAATTTCATAAACTGACAATGGCCACATTAACCTAGGATATAGCCCAAATTGCAAACACCACAACTTCAACTTTCCTGGAAGTTCTGATTTATCTATTCTATCCAATCCTTCAGCCACATCTTTTCTAAATTTCACCACCTGTTCCTTATCATTCAACTCTACATTGTACCACCTACCTAAGCTCTTTACTGACTTTTCCCTAATTGTTGGGATGTCCTCATCATCTATGACAAACTTCCTATCACTTAACTTCCCTCTACATATCGAGATGCTTCTAGATTTACTAGGCTTGATTTTCATGCTGGCCCACTTGAGGTTCTTATTTACCTTCTCTAGTAGCCTCTTTGTACATGGCATTGTTGTGGTCACCAGTGTCATGTCATCCATGTAAGCCCTAACTGGTGGAAGATGCAACCCATTCTGCCGTCTCTCCCCACCTACCACCCACTTAGAAGCCCTGATGATTACTTCCATTGCCATAGTAAATGCTAATGGAGAAATTGTACACCCTGCCATGATGCCTATTTCTAGCCTCTGCCAACCTGTTGTGAAACCTGCTGTACTTAGACACAACCTAATATCCTGAAAATATGCTTTCACTAAGTTAACAACTACCTGTGGCACTCTGAAGTAGTCAAACGCACTCCAAATGAGGCTGTGCGGTACTGAACCAAACGCATTTGCAAGATCTAAAAATATTACATGTAGGTCCCTTTTGTTAATCTTCGCTGCCTGAATCTGGTGCCAGATCATGCTAGTATGCTCTAAACACCCTGAAAAACCTGGTATTCCTGCCTTCTGCACCATGGTATCTATTAAGCTATTCCTTTCTAAGTAGCTAGCTAGTCTCTGCGCTACTACACTAAAGAAAATCTTCCCCTCCACATTCAAGAGAGAAATCATCCGGAACTGGCTAAGGTCCACAGACTCCTTCTCCTTAGGAATGAGGACACCCCCTGCCCTACGCCATGCTCTTGGTATAATTTGTTTTTCCCAAACTATTCTTAGCTGTTTCCACAAAAATTTAAGGGTATCAGGCGCACTTTTATAAACCCGGTAGGGGACTCCATTAGGCCCTGGGGCCGAAGAAGCCTTTGCACGCCTGACCACCTCCTGAACTTCCTTCCACCTAGGTGGCCTGACATCCATCTCATGCTCTATCCCTCCTAATGGAGGGATATCAGGTGGGAAACCTACTATCCTATTCTTCTCCAAATCTGAATACGTGTTTCTCAAATATTCTTCAACCTCTAACCTTTCTGCTTTAAGCTGCCCTCCCTTTTCCTGGCTGAACAATCCTTTAACAAACTTAAAAGGGTCCCTGAAAAAACCTGTCCTAGCATATTCCTTCTTCCTCCTCTTTTTCCTGAGATGCTCCGCCCTTCTAAGAACTGCTAGCCTGCTTCTCAACTCCTCTTGCAACACCTTAATTCCCTCCCTTTCTTCTTCTGTAGCCTTTTTCCACTGCTTTCTTAACTGTCTCCTTTCCTTGACTAACTTCTCTATTTCTCTCTGCCGCCTAGACTTACCTGACTGTACCCTCTCACTCCTCTTTCTCTCATGCACCCCAAACCTCTCTACACCATATGAATACATTATATCTCCCATCTTTTCTAACCTTTGTATTGCATTTCCTCTAAGCCTACTCAAGATTACTGACAAGTCTCTATTAACTATCTCCCATTCTTTACTGTCATTTGCTCTAGGCCATCTAACTCTAACCTTTTGCTCCATAGTTCTTTCTCTGGCTAGCATACTGGCCTCAGTGTCACCTGCATCCTCTCTTACTACCCCCTCCTCCTCAGTGGCAGCGTTACTGATATCCTGCGAACTGTGGTTTTCTACCTGCCGCTGGACTTCATCCGACTGACTCGACTGACTTCTTAGGAAGTACTGATCAATGCGGCTACTCTGCCCTTTCTTTGCCACACACTTCTTCTTTCCCTGATGAGTTCTGAGGCCTTTCACTGATGTTACTTTCTGCCAGCCGCAAGGACAAACCTGAAGCATCTTGTTCTCAACTATGCTACTTTTGCCCTCTACAGATGCGCTCACCTTGCCCTGAGTGCTGCTAATTCTAGCACTGGTGGATAGGTCCGTGCCCCTATCCTTCACTGAGTCACCGGTCCAAGTCATAGTCGTGTCCTTTCCAATGTCTGTTACCGTGTAATCCACCTGTGAGTCATCTTCCACCCCTGCTCTCGCTGACTCTTGGGGTATTTTTCCTATGTTGGCTGTAGCTAATTTTGGTTGTAGTAAGGCTGCTAGGCCTCACCACTGCTACCATGGGTTGCTAGCCCATGCCAGCACCTTTGGGGTCTTTTCCCTCCTGTCAGCTGTCTTTCCAAGCGGTCACATGGTCTTTCCCTTGTTGTCAGCTGCCCTATTCACAGCAGTCACTAGCTGGGCTAGTTCTGAGTTCAAATAAACACAAGAAGTTTGTGCTCTAGAGAAAGGATCAACACGCTAATATGGCAAGGCTTAACTATACAAACCAATGAGCAGTGATAACTAGCATGCCTTTGGGGTCATTGGGTGGGAACCTCCTTTCACCAGTGTTTCGTCTAGTTGGTCCCACGACACCACCAGGAGGCTAGACAGTAATCTCTAGCGTCCCAGAGACTTCCCTAATGCCAGGTCTCACTGCTCCTCTCCCTGCACCAACCCAATAACCTCCTTTACCTTACTTACGCATGGCTTTCTCAGCCCAAACAGCACTGCCACCTTCAACCAAACCCAGGCTCTGTACATGCGAGCTCCAGGTAGAAGCAGTGCTAATACTACCTTTCCTAGAACATTCACCATACTCTATTTCACACGCTACATAGCATAACTACAATATAAGCTAAAGTTAAAGGAGCTAAATTAACTTACAGGATCAGCAATCACTCTCACCTTGCTGCATGGCCTCAAACAAAATGGATTCAAATAGGCCACTCCCACACTTAAATAACCTTCCTCTACCTGGACTTCCTCCTTACTTAAAAATAATGCTAATATATGCTTGCAAAATATTTTTTCTGTTCTCACTCAAAATAATATATTCATAAAAATTCATAAACAATTTCATTTAAACTTCCTTTAGTGCTTAGGCATACGTTTTATCTAGAACTTCATCTTTGTTCAGATCAACCTCTCAAAACCTCTCAAACGTCTCAACTGTACATTTTAAGCAGCAGGGATGGGAAGGAATGGAATACAAATAACAAAGTTATGTATTTAAATGATAAAATATTCCATTACAGTTACACTTTAAATTGGCGGTATTCTTAATACAGTTACTGTCTTTAAAAATAGATTACTTGAAGGGATTACTTTGTTTCGTTTCATTTGCTCTAACACTGTGTCCTAACTATATGCAGCGCACGTGAGCTGGGGCCTATCCCAGCTGACATAGGGTGAGAGGTGGGGAACACAGACAACCATTCACACTCACATTCACACCTACAGGCAATTTAGAGTCACCCATTAACCTATCCCCAACCTGCAGGTCTTTGGATTGTGGGAGGAAGCCAGAGTACCCAGAGAAAACACGGAGAACAAGCAAATTCCACACAGAAGGGCTCCCTCCTGGGATTGAATCAGGGGGTCCATGTCATTGGTCTGACAGCCCATTAGTTCGACATCCCGTTAGTCCGACTGTCCGCAGTGCTGAATGGCTCGCGGCGGGCATATGGTGTGCCGCAACCGGCTCTGGGTCAGCTGGGAAAGGCTTGAGGCGGAGCAGGCTCACAGCTTATGCGTTTGTCACTTTCTTTTTCATTTTAACCCACACCATGATCTTTCCCTGACCAAGTGGTTTTTGTGCCTAAACCTAACCAGACCTTAACCACAGGGCAGCATAATGATTTCGGAACGGACTTCGGAACAATGGGTTTAATATGGTCGGAAAGATGGGATGTCGGACCAATGGGCAGTTCCCGAATCAGGAACCCTCTTGCTGTGAGGCAACAGTGCTAACCACCACGCCACCGTGCCGCCATTTTTGGATATATTGTATGTAATTTCTAGTATATATCACAATATATAACTTGTGTTTTTTGTTTAGCAAGTAAAAACATAGAAAGGCAGAAAGAACAACTTTTAAGTGGTTACGTCCTCAGCTTATAGGTAGCCTACATGGTTTGCGTACATGATGCAATAAAAGTGTATATTTAACAAATTACATTTTAGGGTATGTATTCAGTAATCTACAGTGGAATATGTTTTAAAAGTAACGCACCCAACACTGTTAAGCAGGGAATATGTCATTAGTTCTCCTTTTTTTGGACTGAGCCAGTGCCCCTGAAAATGTCTGTTACTATAACAGCCCAGATGCTGCCCCGGACACCATCTGGCACATGACACCTCACACCTCTTGTTTTGCCAAGGAGTATGAGGTTATATTTGCCAGTAAATGAGAGGCCCCGCCTACATCTGGTCACATCTAACTCATGCAAACAAAGGTGTGAGTTGTGGACAGTTTAACTTCATCATACCAAATAACAAGATACAAAGGAGTCCATTCATTTATTGCACAGTGGGCCTCATGTAGCAACATTCTCTTAAATTTATCTTATATTTTCTATTAAGAGAAATTATAAGAGAAGTCGACTGCACCAAACATTCTTAACCATCTCAATCTGCTTTTACTAAGGTGTGCCCAATGATGAATCCCACTTGATCATTAGTAACCTATTAGCATAGGTAACAGCCCCTAAACATGGACAGGTGTTGTGCCATGTGCAGTAAAAGTACTCATACCACATTTTAAAAGTAAAAGTACCTAATGCAAAAAATGTAAACACATTTTTAAATCAAAAAATTAAAATAATAAAAAAGAAAAACATGTTTTTGCACTTATATATATATATATATATATATATATATTTTCTTATGTTTTGTGTGCAAAAATCTTAATTCATATAAAGTAACAAGTTACTAAAGTTATTCAATAATTGTAGTGGAGTATAAGTAAAATATTTCCTTCTGAAGTGTAGTGCAGTTAGTGAAAAGTTTCATGAGATTAAAATACTCAAGTAAAATTACTTTAAATATGTACTTGACAGTACTTTAGAAATGTACAGAGGGTTGCTCAGTAACTGAAATTACAGTAATTTGGATAAATGGATCAAGTACAGTCGTATTTCTCTAGCTGACAAATGTATTAATCCAAGTATTGTAATTACTCTAAAACATAATAATCTACATGCGATTATTTGATATTCATGGTTTTCGGTAAGAGTGCTCTCTTTAACCACTTGTATTTTTTAAATTTTCTCTCACCTAAGGTCAGAGCAAAGATAAGAAAACACTGGTGAATCCCAGAAATCAATGGGTACTACCAAAATAACTACAAATTGTGGATACAAACAAAAATAAGAGAATATTCATATTGATTCTTGCGTAGGGCTCAGTGAAACATCTGATAATGATCTGGATGTTAGAGACAAAGCCTAAAAGCTCCTGCATTCTGATCTAAGCTTGTTTGAGTTAATATAAGTATAAAGTAGCACATTTTGAACAAGATGTGTAACTGATGAACTTAGATATAATTGCTTTGATGATGGTACACCCTTTATAATCCAAAAGCTAACAACTGAAAGACACCCAACCACTTCTTCTAACATGCCAAACTCAAGTGGCAGAACCTGCTGTACTCTCTGATAATACAATGGAACTTAATGAACACACAGTAAAAATGTCCCTTAAAAGCAAGGCTTATCTTTACAGTCTTGAGCTTTAGGTTACTGTAGGATCTCACCTGAGATCACTTGTGTGAAGATGATAAACGTCTCCACTGCAGACAGATACATTAGGTAATATCTCTGTACTTCACCAAAAATCCAAATTACATTGAAAAATGTTTAAACTAAAGTATAGATAGTTTCTGTCAAAATCAATTGTTAAAATTTACCCAAAACATGGATCCACATAGAGGTTAAGAAGAAAATGAGCTGTTGATGAGCTGCTTGCTGATAGTTAAGGAGATAAAAATCCATGTATCAAATCCAGACTCTACCCTTAACTGTAGAACTGCAGAAGAAAAATACTTACTAGCCACCAAAGTGTCCACCTCTGGCTTGGAAAAGCACCTCATCTTTGATGTCTTGTCGCTGTGGATGTCCTGTTCTGACTATTTTAATTTCCATCTATCCATTATATATTATAGCCTGCTTCTAGATCCTCCCCTTAAATACACATCACCTGTTTCTAGCTAAGGGCTGGCCAGTCACAAGTTGTTGTGGCTGAAATCAACAAATCAGGTTGCTGAGCTGTAAAGTATATTAAGTAGAGTACACTTTCACAGCTCTACCTCCTCACCAGTGTCAATCAGCTTCTTTTAGTTAAGTTCATAGAAAAAAAAAAAAAAATATCCCAATGTGAACAGAGACCTCAGTGACAAAAGCAGTTTTATGTTTAACTATTACTTAGCAAATAACCAACCGAATCAGGAGCACTTCTTTGAGCGCTTGTCACTGGGAAGTGAGCTAGTTAGCTGTTAGCTGTTAGTAGCCAGTGGGCAGCAGTAGTGTGTTGGCTGATGGGGCTACCAGCTCTGAGTTAAAAGAGCTAACAGCTAACGAAGCTAAACACAATCTGTTAATGTCTTTTCATTTGTTAAAGTGTGTGCGAACCAATCATAGCATGGCCAATTGTAGCGTGGCATTGGCCAGCTCCGTCACAGGTCTGACAACTACACAACACTACGCTGTACTCAGTAGACGCTCCTGCAGTTGCTCAGATTCCTTCATTTTCAGGCTGGTTCTGTGGATTTTTAGCAAAATGTTGTGTCCAGAGCATGTCTGATAATCGTATTGTTACCTGGAGATGTTGGAAGGAGATAGGTTTCTTCCCTGTTCCAAAACCAAAATCAATCCCTGAAAATTGTGGGATTAGCTAGCTAGCTGCTAAAGCTATAGCTTGCTGAACGTATACACGTTACTTTTGTTTTTCAGTGTATATGACACCAAATAAAGACCTATCCTGCTTTACAGGAACCAGTAAAAGGAAACAGGGAAGCTGCTGCTATTCAGCCAGCTGTTTGTCATTGCAGTGTGTGCAAATAAATTGTGTTTGGTATCCCCTGGAGCTCCCGCCCATCTGACAGCCGAGGTGCTGGAGCTGGCATTGGCGGAGGGGAAAGCCATACACTGTTCATCTGCACACAGTGCGATGACATGCGATGACACATGGAAACGGCTTCCATTTAAATTCATTGTCTTCTGTCTTGATTGCCAGTGATGTGGTGGTTCACTTTTACACTGTGATCTGTAGCCTATAGTTCAGCTTTAGCTTCTATCTATGTTCATCTTTTTAACCTGTTTTTGCTGCTGAGTGAGTTTGACATCGTGGTTATGCCTTTCAAACACATAGACCCCTGTAGTAGTAGATCCCTCTGTTTGCTTCTCTCTGGAATCACTTAGTGGTTTTTCCAAAAATTTGGTATTTCTTCAGAGAGTGCAGTTAGTGACAGTGTGGGCTCCATGCTTACTGCGACAGCTTGACGGACCACCACAAACAGGCGGGGCTTAGCAAAGGGTCAGTTACACACAGCTTCTCTTTGCTTTCACAGTAGAATAGAATAGAATAGAATAGTATGGGGTTGATGGCCCCTTGCTAAGGGCCATCCAGTCCCTGTACCGAAGGAGCATGAGTCTGGTTCGCGTGGCTGGCAGTAAGTCGGACCTGTTCCCGGTGATGGTTGGACTCTGCCAGGGCTGTCCTTTGTCACCGGTTCTGTTCTTAACTTTTATGGACAGAATTTCTAGGCGCAGCCGAGTGGTGGAGGGTGTCAGGTTCGGTGACGGGAGGATCTTGTCCCTGCTTTTTGCGGATGACGTGGTCCTCCTAGCTCCATCGAACAGTGACCTCCAGCTCTCGCTGGGGCGGTTCGCAGCCGAGTGTGAAGCAGCTGGGATGAGAATCAGCACCTCCAAGTCTGAGGCCATGGTCCTCAGCCGGAAAAGGGTGGATTGCCCACTCCAGGTCAGGGGTTAGGTCCTTCCTCAGGTGGAGGAGTTTAAGTATCTCGGGATCTTGTTCACGAGTGAGGGTAGGATGGAGCGGGAGATTGACAGGCGGATTGGGGCGGCGTCAGCAGTGATGCAGGCACTTAACCGGTCTGTTGTGGTGAAAAGGGAGCTTAGCCAGAAAGCGAAGCTCTCAATTTACCGGTCGATCTACGTTCCAACCCTTATCTATGGTCACGAGCTCTGGGTAGTGACCGAAAGAATGAGATCGCGAGTACAAGCGGCCGAAATGAGTTTCCTCCGCAGGGTGGCTGGGCTCAGCCTGAGGGATAGGGTGAGGAGCTCAGACATCCGGGAGGGACTCGGAGTAGAGCCGCTGCTCCTCCACATCGAGAGGAGCCAGTTGAGGTGGTTCGGGCATCTGGTAAGGATGCCTTCCGGACGCCTCCCTTGGGAGGTGTTTCGGGCATGTCCAACCGGGAGGAGACCTCGGGGCCGCCCCAGAACACGCTGGAGGGACTACATCACCCGGCTGGCCTGGGAACGCCTCGGGGTTCCCGCGGAAGAGCTGACGGAAGTGGCTGGGGAGAGGAGTGTCTGGGCTTCTTTGCTGAGGCTGCTGCCCCCGCGACCCGGACCCGGATAAGCGGAGGACGACGAATACGAGTACGAGTACGAGTATGAGAATAGAATAGAATAGAATAGAACTTTATTGTCCACCAGGTGAAAATTTGTCTTTGGCCCACCAAACATAAAAACATAAAGAACATAAAACATAGAGCAAGATAGCACAGACAAAGTACCATTACAGTATATTAAAACAGTTCATTTCTGTGGTTTCAACAGTTTTCATTCACTTTGTTGAATTAAGAATAGTGACAGCACTTGGAATGAAAGACTTCTTAAACACGTTTTTAGTTGCCAGAGGAACTCTGTAACGCCTCCCTGAGCTTAGAGGCTCAAACTGGCAGAAGAGAGGATGGGAGTTATTCTTTAGGATACTCTTCGCACAGTGATTGTCAACTGGTGGCCACATCTGGCCCGCCAAAGCTTTTCATCCGGCCAGCAGAATATTAATTCTGTATTTAGGACATCAAGTAATCAAACCCCAAAACAGTTGAGATGGAAACAATTTTATAAGGAAGGATTTTCCATGCCCAAAAATGTGCCGTTGACCTGCAGGTTTACATGTTATAAATCCATCCATCAGCTTACTTTTAGCGGTTATGATATGCCAGTCTTGGTAAGCTTAGGCTACAAGAAAAAAATAACATCAACTGTCAAAAAGTGACAAAGCAGTGTAGAAACATTTTGCAGTGGTTTAACCTCCACCTTCTCTTCCCCTTTCTGTCTTAATCTCTCTCTCTCTCTCTCTCTCTCTCTCTCTCACACACACACACACACACAAACATGCACATAAACACACACAGGCTACACACCATGGCACTCAGTCTATCTCTGCCTAAGTCCTCAATCCTGACAACTGTGCTAAAAAAATGGTTGATTAACCCAGATGTTGCTGGCAGGTGTGAATTGGATAAATGATACTGAAACAAATCTTTTATAAATGGGATGCTGCTTGGGTCATGTCTTAATGCAAGAATGGGGAAAAACTCATAGCGCAGTCCCCACAACCAGGTGATGATACTGAAGCAGCCCATACCAACAAATAATTTTACTATTGTGGGCAACAGACAAAACCAAGTAGGTCAAATAAAGATAGTAACACATCTTTGGACAACTCTGTTTGCTGATCACACAGCTCATCAATCCATCCAAGCACATTGATGACGCAGTGAGGAGTTTTTCCTCACAGCACCGAAGTATCTGATCCTAATAGATTTATAACTGTCTTGGCCCTTTTAGTTGTGGGTGCAATAGTAATGTCCACCCCTGATAATTATGATGGTTCTCTCATTTCATCATACAGAATACACCCAATGATGCCATGGGTTATGTATCCTTCAAATGTTAAAACATAATCATGCATCCATGTAAAAAATATAATTTGAAAGCGCAGCCCCCACAGGGCCCTTAGACAAATCTAGTTGATGGTCCCTGTTCTATGTGTTTTCAGTTTGGGCTTTGGCTGGTCCACTCAAGGACAGTTAGAGACTTATCCCAAAGCCTCTACAGCATATTCTCAGCTGTTTGCTTTGGGTAGCTGACGTGCTGAAAGGTGAAATACCAATAACGTCTGAAGTTGCATGAGCTCTGAAGCAGATTGCCTTTCAGGACTTCTTTGTATTTTGCTGCTTCCCTCAGTTCTGACCAGTCTCCCTGCCTCTGCAGCTGAGAAGTGTCCCCACAGCATAATGTTGCCACCAAAATGCTTCACAGCAGGGATTGTATTAGCCAGGCACATTAACATGAAGGGCTGATTAATGGAGTGCTGCTGAGAGGGTTCTCCCATCTCTGCAGAGGACTTCTGAGGCTCTCTCAAGACTGACCCTTGGGTACTTGGTTACCTCCCTGGCTAAGGCTGTTCTTGCACGGTACTTTGTCCTGGTGGTGGTTCCAAACTTCCTCTATTTCACAATTACTGGTACCATTGTGCTCCCGGGAATGCTAAAAGCTATAGAAGTTGTTTTATACACTTGCCTTGATCTATTCCTTGCCACATTTTTATTGCAGTCTACAGTTAGTTCCCTGGACCTCATAGCTTGGTTATTGTCTTGACCTGCAGAATGAAAGGTCAGTTTTATCCATTTAAATTGAAATCTAAAACTAAAAGCGTATAGGGATCTGAATTCTTTTTAAAGCTAATGGCCCTCATTCACAAAACAAGCATGCAGCTTATAACTGGGTGCATGGTCATTTCCACACAAACACAGGGCGCGGCCCCTCCTTGACGGCGCCACTAGCCACTCACATGTGAGTTGTCGACGGTGACAGTGTGTGTCAGCTTTGTCAAGTGTACCAAGTGCAGCATGATGCTGGTATATGACAACAAAAAGACGGGGACCTCGACACTTAAGAGGCACATGACAAAGGCTTGCCATGGAAAGAAAGAAGCAAGTCAACCTTCAATGTCCACGTTCGTATCTTAAAATGTCGGGTTTAAACCAGGCTTGGGCTTATAATTACAGTTAAAGGGACGGGCCGGGCCGGGTACGGACAGAACATGCACAGGCTCGGGTGGGGTCAGGCTGGATTTTTTGGGCCTGATCTAAGCTCTAAGGTGGTGCATCTGTGTCCCTTCCGCTACCTGTTATGCCCGAAATGGAAGCAGACCTGTTGCGCAGGGCGCATATTATTGATGTATAACTTAAATATATCAACCTTGAGTTTAATTGAGTCCAGCAGCGATTTCCTCCCATACTGCTTTTCCGAATTCCTTTGATGCCACGTTTTTTGGCTGCCAAATTGAAGCAGCTGGTTACATTGGACTTGGGATGTCAGTATTTTCATTTCTAGCTCAGAGAAGTTTCTCTTCTCGGCCATATTACGCCTCTCCATGTTGTAAACTCTTGGGGCGAGGCCTCAAAACCCAGAATATATTGAGGAGAGATATTTAAATGAAGATTGTTTTTAGCTGCCACAGTTATCAAAGCCTGATCATTCCTACGCTGTGATTGGTAATAGTAAGAGCGTTTCTTTAATCACACGCCAACCCTATCGTTAAATGAGTGTTACAAGTGCCAGGAAACATCAGTGTAGTTACAGAGAGGTGCTGCTCCCTCACCTATCCAACCACTGAAATAATCAGACAGATCCAACAGATCCTGCAGGACTGGGAGACAGTGTCAGGCTTCAGCAGGCCTGTTTCAGGTTCTGTCTCCACTGTCCGCTGACAGATATCAAAACAAGATTATTTTTTACATTTGCCTTGGTGGATGCTGTGTCACAGCTCTCCTCAAGCCAGTGTGTTCTTCTTGTTGGGACTTACAACAGATGAGCCATTGCAGGCAGTATTTGAGGAGTCCACCTCTCCTGATGGTCATTTGAGAATAAATCTGTCATACTGGCTCTGTCATCAGAATGTTAAAAGAGTAAGAATAAACAAAACAAAAAATATTTTTCTATTCTTATTTGTATTGAATAATTTACTGGAAAGTGATTAATCCATCAATAATTTTGACAAGCAGTTGATCATTTTGTCACTTTTAGCAAAAATGCCAAACATTCTCTAGTTTCAGCTTATTAAATGCTTATCTTTGAGAAGAACTGCAAAAAGCATTATTCATATTACTTTAAGGTAGTAATACAAATATCTCTGGTTCTAGTCTGATGGCCAGATAAAACAAGGGATCTTAGGATGTACCCTCTATTTCCTAGCAGCTATTTGACCATGAAGGCCTGATTGGCGCAGTCTCCTCTTAACAGTTGTTCTAGAGATGGGTCTGCTGCTAGAACTCTGTGTGGCATTCATCTGGTCTCTGATCTGAGCTGCTGTTAACTTGCCATTTCTGAGGCTGGTGACTCGGATGAACTTATCCTCAGTAGCAGAGGTGACTCTTGGTCTTCCTTTCCTGGGTCGGTCCTCATGTGTGCCAGTTTGGTTGTAGCGCTTGATGGTTTTTGCGACTCCACTTGGGGACACATTTAAAGTTTTTGCAATTTTCCGGACTGACTGACCTTCATTTCTTAAAGTAATGATGGCCACTCGTTTTTCTTTAGTTAGCTGATTGGTTCTTGCCATAATATGAATTTTAACAGTTGTCCAATAGGGCTGTCGGCTGTGTATTAACCTGACTTCTGCACAACACAACTGATGGTCCCAACCCCATTGATAAAGCAAGAAATTCCACTAATTAACCCTGATAAGGCACACCTGTGAAGTGGAAACCATTTCAGGTGACTACCTCTTGAAGCTCATGGAGAGAATGCCAAGAGTGTGCAAAGCAGTAATCAGAGCAAAGGGTGGCTATTTTGAAGAAACTAGAATATAAAACATGTTTTCAGTTATTTCACCTTTTTTTGTTAAGTACATAACTCCACGTGTTCATTCATAGTTTTGATGCCTTCAGTGAGAATCTACAATGTAAATAGTCATGAAAATAAAGAAAACGCATTGAATGAGAAGGTGTGTCCAAACTTTTGGCCTGTACTGTACATTACAGCCCAGTAGGGGTAGGGTTAAAGCTTAGCAGGTCTGATACAAGCTGCTCCAACCATTAAAAAGTCACTTCTCAAGAATTTAGGAGAGAGGAGGACTGCTTATTTTATCAAATTCTTTTGAAATTATAGGCTGAACATCTTTTTTTTAGTTTTAATGAGTGTCATGAGCTCAGTTAACGCATTTGTAAAATGAGTGAGGCCTGATCAAAATATAATGCTGCTGGTTTGTGTTTTAACTGTGGATGCACAAGATAACACTAGTACACTGACCCTGCAAAGGCAGTAACATAATCAAATTTTGTCAAAACACTATGTTGGTTCATCTTGTTTCAGTGGGAAAGTGTGCTCTAGTTGACAGAGGAGGGCTGGGAGATGTAATGATCTCACCAGTTAGTCAGCATTCTTGAGAACAGTTTTGGTTCTGTTGGGCTCCTATTGTTTATTTGTCTCCAGAACCTGGAATCTGAAATTACTCGGTAAAATGCATTTACCAGTTTACCACTTCATCACTTAAACATGCCTGAAAAAAAAACACACACACACACACACACACACACACTTTGTCTCAACTAATGCAGCTGAGTTAGCCCCATCGAATGCTACCATACTGCTCTGCTTACTCATCTACACTGAGGCACATAATATGCCAGACTTGGACCCACATAAGTGATAATGTTTATTTGGATTCGGTTGAGCCCTCTTTTTATATTTATCATCCAGTTAAAACACATAAGGGGCCTTCATTTGTTCAAATAATGAGAAAGCTCAAACAAGGTGTCATCATACAGAAATGTTGAGTCATGTACTTTTAATAATAACCCCAAATGATAGGGCATGTCATCCCTAATAATAGTAGGGGTAGTAGAGGGGTAGTATAGACATGTCTGTAACCACAGCTAGACAGAGGGAACTGAACACCAGATGTTTTTATACGGCAGAGATTACGTATTGGAAAAAATGACTTTAGAGGAGTCTTATGATTATGGTTTTGAAGACATAAGTGCGTGAGCAGCTGCAGTGCCTCACATGTATTCTATTTTTTTTGATGGGAGCTGTAGTTTTGTCTTGTACTCAAAGTAAATGTTTTACTTGAGTGATTGAAATTTGATTTCATTTTTTTTTTACATTTTTTTATTTCCAGTAATCTAGAGGATAATAAAATGTATTTATTGACTGGTATTCATTCAGCTTTGACCCAGAGTGATAGGGTTTAACATCAACTGTCTTACAGGGTTGTAAAATCATTCTGGTAAATAATCCTGAAAATGAACCCTGTCCTTTGTATTGATAACATTAACATCTACAATACATCCCCGCCCACATAACAGGGATGAATAAGAAAGAACTACGAAGGACAAAAAGACACATACTGCACACTTTTGCATCATCTTTCATTTGCTGATGTGATTTTGTTGCATAAAAACATATTCCTCTGATAAGAAAATGAATGTTGGTAACAATGATTTAAAATTTTACACATCAGTATTTGTCTTTTTTAGAAAGAGTGCAGGAGTGATCAGATGCACTTTGATTGAAACATATTTCTGTAAAGATTTGATTAATGCTACATAATTACATACAGTCATTTAGTGCATTTTACCTTTATTGCATCATACACTGTGGAGAGACAACAGGACACATGGGAACAAAGGGTGGGTGGATGACATGCAACAAATGTTTCCAGCCACATTGAAACTACAGTTATAGTCTGAGACTACACCGTGATATCACACAATGGTGTTTTATGTCAGTGAAGGATTAGTCTAAATTTTAAGTGGTAATTTGGAAACTGTCAAAACCTCAGCTCATTCTCATTGTACACATAAAAGGATAAGCACGTTCACATGTACATGTGCAAAAGATCAAACTGGCATACACTTTGAAAGCAGATGAAGCCAACTTTACAGCTTGCATGCAGTAGATACATGGCCTTCGTATATATTCATTTTAATCTCACCAGAGACTGGGTGGGTTTGTAGTTGTGATAACAGCACATTCATCAGTTGTTTAAAATCATGTTTAACCATTGAGGTCCCACTAGCACTGAGCGTCTGAAGTAATAGGCCCGTTTCCACTGAAGAAGTTCCTGTTACTTTTTGGGGGCAGGAACTACTGCAGGAACGTCCTCTCACTCAGGGTTAGGGTAACAAACACATCTGATATGTATTTACATGTACTTTCCAGTGATGTCACAATCCTGTCTCCTACCAAAAGCTTTTGCCAAATACACTTTGAAAGGAACACAATTTCTGCCTGGATTTTGTTAACTGAAAATGTTTCTCCCAGTTGGAGTTGTGAAGTTAAGTTTAGACAACATAAAACATATTTAACAAGATAACAATCTTTCTTTCTCTAACCTGAACCAATATCTTAGGAAAACTAATTAAATACATTGTCAGTCAACATTTTAATAATCATTTAAAAACATGTTTCCTTTCTGGGTGATATTATGTTTCCTTCAAATTGTATTTGGTGTTGCACATTATATCAAGGTAATTTATACTAATACACAGCTGGATGTCATTATGTACAGTTAGGTTTCCCCACTAACCATAGTAATAATGCTGAAAGAAAGATAGAACATTGTAAAAGCACAACTTCCCATTGGTGTTAAGGCATTACTCCGCAACATGTCAATTATTTTAAATTTCACCTACTTATGTAAGTATACAGTGAGTTTTACTCCTGTTGATTACTAGAATAACTCCAGGGACAGAAGACTTCATGAGCTGTTGGTCTCTTGTCTGCAGCATCTTTGTTGAATTCTAAGCATTCAAATTACACAATCAGTAGTTTTAAATCACGCTCCATGTATCACAACATACAATGAGTAGCCTTTAGAAAAATGTACATATGATAATTCTCTCTGTAAAAAATATAACACCTCTCTACCACTATGATTTCCCTATTCCTTTTTTTTTTCTCAATGTTGGTGAATCTTCAGCATATTATGGACCGTGTGATTCACCATGTGATGAATTCAAAAACTTTCCTTGTCACATATTCAACGGCATCCAGCACCAAACCTCCCAAAGGCTCGCCCACGGTCCCAGTCAAAATAGCAGTAGCGGTTTCACGCACAATATCTTGTGCTGTCATGCCATTAGGTTGTACTGTCTTTATTTCCTGGTCTTTGACTTTCTGTGCCATTTTGAACATTTTGTTGGTGTAATGCCCTCTGTTGTTTTTTTCAACCATTTTGTCAATCTTCTCCAGTAGCTCAGCCACTTGGTTGGTGGGCCTCTTGCCTGTATTGTCGAAAGAATGGTGTCCCACAACGTTTTTACTGATGAAACTTCCCTGTATGTCTTCGTCATCAAGTTCACCTTCATCTCTGCAGGTGAACAAGGCCAAAGTATAATTTTTGGACTCTTTACCAAAAATCCTCTGAATGATTTCCACTACACCTTTATCATATGTTGTGAAAGCTTCTGGCTTCAACACAAACAGGAACACATGAGGACCAGGAGCAGCATATGTGATGCATTTCACAATGTCTTCCTTCACCTGATCTCGTGTTCTTTTGGTGTTCATCACACCTGGAGTATCGATAACAACCAGTTTTCGTCCATCAAACTCTCCTTCCTCTATTATGCACTCTGTTGTCTGCGAGGAAGCCGATGACTTAGTCATACCAGGTCTCCCCAGGAGGGTATTCATGGTTGAAGTCTTTCCAACTCCAGTCTTTCCAACGAGCACGATCCTCAGCTCTGGCTCCTCTGACTCTGTTGGAAAATGTTATACAGTCATTATTAATATTAAAAGTCTTTTTTGATTGTTTCAAACCACTAAGGTTCTGTCATAATTAAAGAGACCTGAGGATGACTGCATGTAGGGATGTCAAATGTTAAACATTCTCGGTTAACTGCTAAGATTATTTTTGAATGGTTATGCATGACGGTCCATAGGATAATTCTGCAACTCTTCAGTTTACTGCACTGCACACCAACCGAGTCTGGTGAGAGACAGCTGACCAGCGGAAACATAGTGGCCACTGCCCACCCTCCAACCCTGGTTAGCTGGCCTTGGACACTCTGCACTGTGCACCAGCAGAGTCTGGTGGGAGCTAGCTAGCGTTGCCACTTGTTCAGCAATTATGACAGGTAATGCCATCCTGATCCAACAGTGTTACTGTACCCACCCTCCAGCTCCCCCTGGTTGCCTGGTAATTAAACCCCTTCAGCATCACTGCAAGCTCTGCTTGCCGCGTTAGCAGTGTCAGCATGGCTAGCAATGCTGACATAGTTAACAATGCTAAAGAGGTTTTGAGCGGCATTGCTAGCTACCTTAACTTCCACTCGACCCTGCTGGTTCACAGTCCAGAGCACCCAAGGCTATAGTTAGCTAAGCAATGGAGATCACACTACCAGCTCGCGAAGCGCCAGCGTGCGCGATTACGTCAATTGTGGCGCGCAGACCTTGCGCACTTGCGACTGCGTCGAGCATAAACTAGGCATAAAGCTATAGTGCGTAACTTCTACAGGTCCGTAAATGTCCGTTTCACCCAAGCCACTACTAGAGGAGATGACACAATGCTGATTAAGCCGATTGGCTCCTCTAACATCTTGCGGTATTTTTCAATATATATCATTTTTAGTATGCGTGTAGACCGGCGACATTCCCGCGCTGGCGCACAGGAAACGCTTCCTCACAACAAGAAGGGAGGGGGAGGACAAGAGGAGAGTGTCACAGCAAGAGGTAGAGTGCAGGTAGAAAGAGAAAGCAACATGGCGGAGAAGCAGCCGAGACACGGTTCAGAAGTGGATCCTACCACAAAGGCAAGTGTTTCTCTGTGTACGGTGTGTGGCGACTGGCGAGTGTTACTCTGTGTACACAGAAGTGCCGCCGGCTTGTAATAACGCATTATCTGCTGGGAGGCGACAGAAGTTACGCACTATAGCTTTAAGTATTGTTGTGCATTTTCAGTATAACTCTTTAACCAGCACATCTTGGATGTTCAGAAAGACAGTGTGTACTCTGTGTGGGCATTTTGACCAACAACATAATGGTAACCTGATCAGTTCACAGTGACACAGTTCAGCACTATCTCCTGACTGTTTTATATCATCTTATCTATGTTCTTTTTTTGTTTTTTGTTGTACAGAGTGCCACTACACTTAGTACAATAAGTGCAGCCTCCACCTGTCCAAGTGTAATTTAACATAAGCTTGACCCTGTGCCAATGAATGACAGTTTTGGGGAGGGTCAAATTTCCTGTACATTGGACACAGTGAGGGAGTACTTGTTCCTGAAAAACATGAGTTTTTAGCTCATGTACATTACTTTTAATGTACTACCCACCCTTGGTGGCTATATTTATTATTATTACTATTGCACATCTGTTTACCCTCCATAGCCGACACCAATCATTGCATTAATGTATTTCTGTATATCTCCACCTGCCTCTTTATATTATGGACATCTACACAATTCCTTATTCAGATTAGTCATCTATTTCATTCTCTTTGTTTTCATGACTGTACAGCTCTTACTATAAATACATATTGAACATATTTTTATAAATATCTTTTTAATTTTTCAGAGAACTTTTTGCTGTACTTGTATTTTTCCTCTACTTGTAACCAAATCACAATGTTTCCATATCCTAAGTAAAACTTATTTGAACACACACTTTGATCTTACCTCACCCCATCCACATGGATTTTCTCCCTAATGCTAACTAAAATGAAATGTAACCAGTGTTGTCACATCATAAAACAGATCATGTAAGGTCATGGACCAAAAACACATTTTGTTTTCTAATCTGAAGGATTCGTAAAAAAAAAACCAAAAAAAACCAAACAAACAACTAAACTGTTGTGTGATGGGTAACGACCATCACTGCATTACTAAATGCTGACCTGCCTACAGACTTGTATTCTTTTTTTTTTTTTTTTTAATTTTACTTCAGTAATCTTAAAGCAGCTCGGTCATGTAATATTTCTCTATATGCTGATGATACTGCTCTCTTTATGTGCTATAAAGATAAGAGTCTCTATGTGCAGAGCCACAAAATAAATGAATATTTAAATAGCTTGTTTCATGGTAACAGGACATGTCTTCACCTGTGGAGAACTAAACCTACCCCCTAACCTCTTTCTTTTAAAAGAATTTCCATATAGGAAAAATATAATGAGTGCTTCTTTACTTTTTCATTAAATATGAATAGTTTATCAGATTTTTGATTTGACCCACACAGGCATTTATCAAAATCTGTCTTTGAAAGCCCTTACCAAGGTTAATCGGTGGAAAGCTGCTTTTCCTTTAATTGAAAGCCATTCTGACTGTGCCACCTATTTCTTTACTGCTCTGCCAGCACAAGTCATTAAATATTAGTATCAACAACCCAACTGCAGGGTTAGACTAAATTACTCAGTATTCCAGAAAACAACCCAAACATTTGACCCAAGTCAAGTTCCCTCATGGTCGGTGTAACAATTACCAAAAAACAACAACAGTGCACAGTGCAGGTCCTTAAAACACAAAATTTAGAGAATATAATGGAGTTACAGTAGAAAAAAATACTCATAAGAGTATGTTGCTCACATACCAAAAAGTCAAAGGCAATGGCAAGACATCTAATGAGTCACTTATTAAGAATTTAAAATGCATGCAGTTACTTCATTAAATAGCACTGAGTTAAAAAAGCAAAGCACACACACAAAAAAAATGCAGCAGTACAGTGGAATAATGTCTCTAACTGGTAGATGCAAAGTAGTCCATATTTTACTCTGTATCCTTGATTATTTTTTATTAAAATTAATGGTTTGTTCTACAAAATTGTGTCCATATCATCAAGTAAATTCAGTCATTTAAAACATAACTCATTAAGCCATCAATAAAATTAGTTCTATGAGTTCAGGATGATGTAAGTACTGACGTTTTCAATCATTATTCATTTTTTCATTTGCACTTCTGCACTTTGCACTAGATTTGTCTGAAAAGCCTAATCACACAAAATATAAAAATGTCTAATTTTTATCACATATTTATATATATATTATTTTGATTTAATCAATGACACACAAATTCTAAGTCAGACTGTAAAAGGTGGAGTTGTTAAAAGTTAAGTCATCAAGACATATAAAAAAAATAGATTAACACACAAGCTTAAAAAGTAATGATATATAAAGCAATGCAATTATTGCAGATATGAATACATTGTATCCATTTTTTCTTACATGAATATAAGAAAAATTATGTTTCAAAATGTGATTTTTTTTTTAAATATTTGATGTTACTGATATGTAAAAAGAGTAGAATAAAATGTTGCTCTGCTGGTTTATCAAACACAACCCTGAGTAAGAGTACTATATATGAAATTTGCTTACCAGGTGGTGGAAGTCTGCTGTCCATCTTTGTCTTTTAAAAGCAGTTGATCTGTGGTGTCTTGTTGCTGTTGGTGTCTTGGTGTTGAATAGTTTGCCATTTCATCTTTATATATTATAAAGACTGTGTAGTTCCCTCCCCTTAAACACGTCATCTGTTACCTAGCCAGTTTGAGGAAAGACGGCACAGACAGCCAACCAGTCACAGGCCAGAAACCAAAATGTAGCTGCAAACAGCAAATCAGGGGCAGAGCAAAAGTGCATCAAACAATGTACATTTTCTGTTGGGTTTGACCACTACTTTACCACACATTTAAGTTCTATTTATTATGTTTAAGTTATTTATATAGTGGATTTGTATGTACCATTATTTCCTTTCATGTAGCAATTCACCAGGGGTGGGAGTAATGCATTACATTTACTCTTGATACTATAACAAAATCGTGGACTTTGGAAGTTTGTGGACTTGTTTGAGTATCTAAAAAAAATGGGTATTTTACTTTTGTTTAAGTACTTTTTATCACAAGTATTATACTTGTCTACATTTACAAGTCTCTACAAGTCCCAGCCGTCAGAGTGAAGCCAAAAGGCACATGACTGATTAACTGTGAGAATGGAACAAAAGAAAGGAAATCAATCAGCACCTGCAACAGAGAAGAAGCTGCAGGTGTGTCTGTAATGGCAGGAGAGCAGAACAAGAGAGAGGTGACAGTCTGCATTCAGCTGACACCCTGGGAAGATTCATCTTGTAAATGTTTACTTCCCAGCCAACATTTGTGTGTGGAGTCCATGTGGGTAGTAAATGAGTGGTACCCAGGTAGCCATAGCATAACCCATGTGTGGCCCTCTTGGGTAAACCCACCCATGTGGGCAACTGGCATGGGGCCATGCCAGTGTGGGAGTGGAGAGTGTGAGTGGGAGTGTCAGGGAGTGGAGAGAATGAGGAAATAGAAGTTGCACCTGGGCTGTGGCATAGCAGTGGTTATGGTTAGCATTAGCCCACTGTACCATGGCGGGGTAAAAAAAAAAAGAAGAAAAAAAAGAGTGACCCAAATCACACCCACGAAGTTACGTTACACAGGTGCAGACTAGCCTGACCCAGGCTAACATGCTAAAGTGTTCATGGGATCCACCAGCAGTGACTTCTGCTATCACTGAGGAACTCTTACCTTCAGCGAGGGGTGTGAGGACTGTTTTTTAAATAATCCCTGATGTGACTGCATTCAGATCTACATGTTGACAACTTGGAGTGAGCGGTAAGACAGAGACAGACAGGGAAACAATTTATTCCATGGCACAGTGCTGCGGTGGTTAGCAATGTCACTTCACAGCAAGAAGGTTCCAGGTTTGAACCCACTGGCTGGCTGGGGCCCTCCTTTGTGGAGTTTGCATGTTCTCCCCATGTCAGCGTGGGTGTCCGGCTTCCTCCTACAGTCCAAAAACGTGGTTAATTGGTGATTTTAAATTGCCTGTAGGTGTGAGTTTGAGCATGCATGGTTGTCTATCTTTGCATGTGTTAGCCCTGTGGGGCAACCAATCCAGGATGTACCCTGCCTCTCTCCCAATGACAGGTGGGATAGGCTCCATCCCCCCCACGACCCTGAACACAATAAGCAGTTTCGATTAATGACTGAATGAAAAGTTTGTCCTGCAAAAATTCAAAAACCAAAAGGGGCTTCATTCTAAGCTGGTATGAGTAAGAGTCTTGGCTGGAATATTCTGTCACTATATATGTTATATAAATGATGTTCTACAATACAACAAGCACTTCACTTTAAGCATATTGACGCCTCCCAGAGAGAGCCTAATTGTCCACAAGTGGAAGCCCCCTAAATGATTAAAGGTTAAACTTTATTTTGGGTCCAAAGGCTATTACGGATGTTTCATTCAACTTTTTCTAACAAAGCAACCATTAATACCACTTTAGGCCCAAATCACACAGTTGCAAGGTAACAAAATGTGAGGTGCACCACACTGTGTTTTTGATGAGGCCAGCCCTGATCAGACAGAGCAATTTTTTAGCAACCAACTAGTGGTGGCAGTTGCTGGAATAACCATAGTTACCATTGTATGAACAGAAAACAGCAGGCCTGGAGGCAAATAAGTGTGATACTTGAGGTTTGGGTAAGCTGTTTTCACTCATTTTAACTGTAATAATTTTATTAAGAGTACAGTTCATGGTTTGATGGTTTGTGTTAAGAAGAACTTAGAACTTTATTTTATTTTTGTCCCCAATGGGGCAATTCATTCATTCATCAGTGTGGACATGACATATAACATATGACATTTAAAACAACAAAACACAGAGGCAAGGCATAGATATAAACAAGCTAACATTATCTCACTTCAACACTGCTGAGTCATCTGAACAAATTACAGCCTCAATTACTTTCTATTGTTAAGCAGCTGATAAGCTGCTAGGTAACATCCCTTTTGTCCTGTAGTGCTGTTTTCTGTTCAGAACATCTTAACTATGGTTGGGAAAGTCATAGAGCTCCAGGAATTAACAGCAACAGCCTCCACTAGTTTGTTGCCATTGCCACCACAGAATGCTCATCTTTCAATTCATACAATTAGGGAATGGGAAAAAAACGTGGTAACGCTCAATAGGGAATACAACTCAGGTTAGAGCTGCTGACTCTCAAATGGATTCTGACCGCAAAATGTAAGGAATATTTATTGGGGTGTGTTCTTTGTTGCCTTTACAGACTGTTTCCCCTCTGGTTTATCAGGATACAGCATAGCACAAATAGGAGTTGTAAAGCACAAGTGGTTTACCAAATTGGTGAATGATCGGTTTACTATCAAGTACAAACCTTGACCAAAGGCAATGCTAAAAACCAGTCTAGAGTTCCAGACTGCAAACACTGAGGCAAACATGTGCACTGTCTCATAAGCAACCACCAGTCCTGATGGACTGAATGACTGGTTCATGTCATAGGCAAGCTGATTCAGCACTCTAGAAGTTATACTGGTGGCTCTAGATAGGAAGCTGGCTAGCCTCCTCTTCCACAGGAAACACAAGGGTTTCCCTAGCAGTAAGTGAATGATCCACTCACAATTCAGCATGTACAGAACTGGGGCTGTACTTCTTTGCTCACGGTTGAGTGAGGATGTGTGGGCCCTTACGTGGCCAATGTGTAATTATGGCAAGGCCTGAGGTAAAAGCATCACATTCTTTCTATTGACTTTTTATCCAGTGGTAGCAGAAAATGGAATCCAGAGCAGGTATAAACACTTCAGATGAACAACAGCTCATGGGAGCCTCTTTGTTTCAGGCACTCTTATGTCTTGATAATGACCTAATGTGGATTGCCTTTCAAAATATCAATGAGCTGTTACTGGCTGTTGGGGCTCACCACATGCATGAACAAAGGACAGGCCTATTTGCAACCCCAAAAGCCTGAATAGCAGCCTGAATGTAAGTTCAGAGGCCTAAAAACAAAGGAACGGCACTAAGATCCCTTCAGCCCATGCAAATCTCACCTGGGTTTGAGATTTCATTTGAATTCAGATCCTGGTGCTCCATTGGACAAGACCTGCGGGAGCTGCAGGGAACCCCTGTGATATGGCCCTGACATCACTTAGGGGCTCTGGACCCATCACCAAATCCGCTGCAACACCAGCTGCTACAGGAGGCACTCTTCAACAAACCTAGGTAACAGTTTCTTTACATTGCTGGATGAGTAATAAACTGTTTTTGTGTTCCCAATAACACATTTTTGGATCCTGAGAAGACTGCTGCACAACCAGCTGATCTTCAATTTTTTCCTACAGAAGGAAGAAAGGGACGTTTTCTTCAGCAAAACGAAAAATTACTTCTGTGCCCAGCCCCTTTTGTTTTAAGTCGACTCCTTCTGTTTTCCCTGATGCCACTCAGCTGCTGTTTAATCTTCTGATGACAGGACTTAATGCCCCGTCTTTGTCCAACCTCAAAGGACCTCCGCTGGGCACATTGGACTAAAACAAATTCTCATCGCTATGAAAGTAAAAGGCTATTGTCTGGGTAGACACAGTTTATGTAGTATAAAATTTTGTTGTGCAAATTCAGTATTTCACTGTGATTTTAACAGGTCACCGTGTCTTGTTGCTGATGTAATAATAACATTATTGTGAATCATCACTCAGTGTGTTGTTTCTCACGTTTAATGTTGATTGTGTTGGGCCGTGACATTGGGCTCTATTTGTGTTAGTTAATGCCACTGCCTGTAACGCCATTAAGCTGCCTTTGTCAGTTAAAGGACCAGCGCTGACAAACATGAAATTTGTGCTGGATGTCTGAGTGATAAAGAAACAATTTGGGTCTTTATTGTGTTGCTTTGGTGCTTTCGTCTCTCTTTCTCACCTCTTTCTAACACAGACACACACCTAGATGCCCTTACATGCATTCACGCAAGTGCACAGATGGTGTGGTGGCACCATTCAGCTCTGCTCTAAACCACTGTAAGCCTCTTACAGACTGAGATTTTAGCAGTCTGATAAGTTCAGTGCAGCTACACTCTGTGAAATAGATCTAATAAACTTGGGTAAGACATCAAGTCTAATGTGTGTAGACTGTATGATGACACCACCTACTGAATCACAGGCTACGATGTGGACTTACTACTTCTCCAACTGTGAAGCTCAACATAGAGGGTCACATTATTAAATAAATAATAAAGTTCTGTGGGCACTATAAACTGTGGTGTGTCTGTGTGTGTGTGTGTTTGCTAGCTGCTAGGTCGCTCACCTGGCAGCTGCAACTCTCCACTATTTCCTTCCATGCTTCATCTTTCTTTGCGTGATCATGGTAAGAGCTGGAGGACACATCATACAGGCAAGGCTTCTGCTGCCACAACTCTACAAGGTTTTACTCTTTGCTGGAATCCTACATGTCTTTCAGCGTGCTTTCCCTCCATGGTGAGCTGCTATCCATCTGTTTGTCTGGGTTTAGCACCAGTGCATCACTTCAAGCTCCATTTCTATTGGTTGGTTAGTAGACGGTCATAACAGCAGTCACACATTGATGGTCATCCAAAATTTCTGACACTGTCAGAACTTTATCCCAGGTTGTTTTTGATTGCAAGACCGTGACAATGG